TTCTTGCAGCAGAGACCACGAGGCACAAAAAGCCAAAAAATTCACTATCTGATCCTTTGCAAAAGAAGTTCGACCACCCTTGCTCTAAGAGATAACATTTTCCAGAATCGGTTTCAGAATCCCCATCATTCTTGTGCTCAGGCCTTACTTTTGAGACTAAGAATGGAAAGATAGCATCTGTATTGTGATAATCTCTCTCATTAGTATAGATACTTTATTTTGAATGAAGAATAGGAGAAAAGTTAATAAAGTTTTTTTTTTCCTAGAAAATATCTTAGGCAAAGTTTCCAGTTGAACCTCTTTGTGATAGATAAAATTCATGGCCATGTGTCTACGTGTCTTCACACATCCTCAATAGTAAACAACTTAAAACAGCATCTCAGGAAAAGCAATCATTCTCAAATTTTTGATGGGTTACCAACATTTTGGGGCACCAGCAGAGAACTGAGGATCCTCTCTTTGGGGCTAAACACATGTAAATGCACATACACTCACCCTTTGAGTATAGTTTCAAGAGTTCCTGGAGACCCGAAGCCTGCCTGAACAGTCTAGGTAAATTCCTCCTCTCCTGAAGGATGCATCTCTACAGGTGGAACTCCAGGCATAAGCCAGTTGGAGGAGGGGCCGGGAAGGTATCAGAGCAGTCCTAGCATCCATGAAAAATCTCACGTCATAGGCAGTCACTTTGTCTTAGAAAACTGAAGTCTTAAAGGGTTTTTAGGCTGCAGGTGCTAGAGTTTGGCTCCTGATTCTATGTGATCTCAGGTACAGACGAAGACTTTTGTGAGCCTCTGAGGTGCAGACGCTGCAATCTGGAGATAAGAGATCCCCAGAAGAGAAGACAGCTGCGGAGGTCAGAGGTGAAAAGTGTCCTAGAAATACGTGTATACTGCACAGCTCTGAGAGTTCCCTGAGGGCCCCCACCTCATTGCAAGCACCTCTCTCTTATCTCTTCCAGTTTTGTCCACCTATTAGTGTGTAGTGGATGTCAGTTTTGCAGAAACATCTACTCTACAGAAGTAGGATGTCACATACACTTAAAGTAACTGAAAGATAACCCAGCCAGTTTTAAGATGGGAGCTGGGAACCCTCCAGTGAAGTCTGCACTGACAAACTGACCCACAGAGCCCAGGAATCCTGGCCAAACATGGGTGTTCATCATTTGCATATAAGCGTTGTTTATTCATAGACGGAACAGACCAAGTGATTTGCAAGTACCTGTCAAGTTGAGTGAACAGTTTGTAATCTTCCCTCCAAACTTAGATGTGAGACTGAGGGCTCCTCTGGTAGGGTCAACTTCTTACAGAAACCTCTTTTGTGGACCACGGCCTGTGTAAGTCGAGGAGCCATAACCAGATGGAATGGCCCAAATTGCTGACGCCTTGTGCCTCTAGTCCAGCTCCTGGATGGTTCCCGTGCTGTTGTGTGGATTTGGAAGGGTGAAGAAGGAACTGCCAAAAGATAAGCTCTAACCACCCCGAGAGCCCTGTCACACCAGAGAACTCTGGGCTGGCCCCGTGTCAGCTCACATTGCTTGCTAGGAGAATTCCAGGAGTGCAAAATTCCACCTAGTGGGTGGTCAGCCACCCTGTGTCCACAGGCATCCTCAAATGCTGCCTGGACCCCACATGGCAACGGATTTTAGTCTTGATGAAGTGAAAATACACAGACGCAAAATCTTACCTGCTTCTACTAAACTTTCACCTTGAATGGCTGGTGAGTCATCGTTTCTCTGCTAAATCATTATTGTTTCTACAGGTGTGGGATCAGTTTATCCTTTTTTCTGTTTGAGAGGGAAACAATTGGAGAGTTCCCCATCTGCATGTAGCAGCTACCTCTACCCTCTGTCCCGCGTCGTCCCGCTCTCTGTAAGATTACAGATGTGTTAGGGGAGAGGGACCTGACTAGGAACTAAAGAAAGGGGGTGTTCATTTTAGCTCTGCCGGTTGCTAAGTAAGTGGCCTCCGGCAAACCCATTAGCCTCCTTGGTCTGGTTTCTGCAGCCATGAACAGATTGCTTCGGAGGAGATGATTCCTAAATTCTCTTCTAGCTCTAAAAATGTGATTTCGTGATTGCTTTGGAATATCTCGGGACATTCAAAGAATCTCTGACTCCCAAAGCGGGAAGAGAGTCCCAGGAGGGACATGACCTGTGTAGTATTTAAACAAGTGAATTGCAATAAGGCTTTTCCCATTAAGGTATTCGCGCAGGCAAGCATTTTATAATAAACTTCCCATGAGCTCATTTAAAGCTCCATTAAAAAGCAAACATATTTTTCAAAGTGAGCTCCTTCTAACTACCTGTTATTTGAGCTTCATGTTTCCTTCCAGTCTTGAATGCTGGGCACCTGTGGATGCCCAGGCAAAGTTTGTAGCTCTCCAGAAAGATAATTGATTGATAAAGGGCGTAGATATAATGACTAAGGGGTATAAATTAAGTGGATTTGTCCTCATCTCCCTTCCTAAGTTCTCCCCTTTCTAACATTTACTCAGTACCTACTAATTGTTAAACACTGTCCTAAAGGGTAACGCTAAATATTCCAGGCACCATTCTAAGTCCCTTACATTTGTTAACATATCAAATTCTCCCTACAATCCTCTATGGTAGGTACTTATATTATCCCTGTTTACCAACGAGGAAACTGAAGCACAGAGAGGTTAAGTAACTTGTTCAAGGTCACACAACTAACAAGTGGGAAAAGCAGTATTTGAAGATGGTCGGGCTCCAGAGTCCACACTCTTAACTGCTTTACCATACTGCATTATACTTGGGCCTGCATGGATTCAGGAAGCAACGTTTTATAATCAAAGTTTTTAAAATGTGATTTTGTCAAGTGTTTTACCATCCAAGCAAAGGCTAATCTAAAGATGATTTGGGATGACAAAATGGTTTCCATTTGACAATCTTTCGGCACAAAACCAAGAGCTATAAGATTATATGGAACAGCCAAAGATATTTCAGTACTTTCTTTTCATCTCTGCTCTCATAATGAATTTCTGAAAAAACTGCCAGAAGAGTCTACTCTAGGCCAAGCTAGAGTTTATAAGTCGGGTTGCCTCCATTTAAGGCAGGTGAGGCTACAGTCTAGAGGTGGAAATTAATTGCCCCAGTTGATGTACATTGTCTACTTGGGAGCAGTAGAGGAAACTGAGGCTCACAGGCCTGGATAATTCTCCTGGGCACCACACACCTAACGAGAGCCAGAGCTGGGGCCTTCTGACTTGCAGCAGTGGGCAATCTCCAGCCTACCCTTTAAACCCACAAGCGTCGAATCACCTGCTAAACTAGACCTGGGAGGAACCATTTCAAAGTTCTTTCTTTTAAGAATCTTCAGATATGGATTTGTTGGGTGGCTTCTGTGCATCTCAAAGCCCAGTGAAATGATCCGATCCTCAAAAACATTTGCTTGGATTTACAGCCCGGAGAGGTAGGTGCCAGCCTAATGTTTTTGACCCAAATGATGGATTTGGTGACTAAGTTGAGAGACCATTTGAATAGTAATACATTTATTTATTTTTGTTTGTTTGTTTTTGAGGAAGATTGGCCCTGAGCTAACATCTGTGCCAATCCTTCTCTATTTTGTATGTGGGATGCTGCCACAGCATGGCTTGATGAGCGGCGTGTGTGTCCGAGCCCAGGATCCAAACCTGCAAACCCCAGGCCACCGATGCAGAGCATGCTAACTTAACCACTAGGCCACCAGACTGGCCCCAGAATAGTAATACATTTAAAGCTGAGTATTTTAATCAAGTGAAAGTGAAAATAAAGTGTTCTCCATCTTCATATTTATGATTGATAGAAACAGAATTTGTGATGAGGAGGGAAAGAATGGGTATAGAACAGCAGTCTGCAATGGTTCACCTGAGTTATCGTGGGAAGGTCAAGTTATCCTGGTTAAAGTTAAAAATTAGTTGCCTTTCCTCATGATACGATTGAATAAGCACATGAACAATTTAGAAAAGGGGTTGTGAAACCTCCTAAGGAAAGAAAAATTATGTAACCAGTTTGGAGGAGAGACTTGGGTCGCCCCACATCTCAGCAGGGGGTTGAACTGCATGACTGGGAGGTTCATTCCTATTTCATAACTATTATTACTTCGCTGGCAGGGTTTATCTTTTATTGCTAATAACACTTCCCTCTGCACTTTCTCTGCTCCGTCCTCTCAATCTACGTCACCGCCCACGCCCAGAACCATTATAAACATCTACTAGACACCAGGGAGCTAATCTTTATTAAGTGAAAACAGCAGTCTCTTTTCTGCCTACCAACGGAGTTATAAACCTTGAAATGTCACTATGCCAAGCTTTACTGGATTTTGTTGTTAGGGTGGTTGAATAGCTAGCTGAACCGAGTCTAGCAAAATACAGACAGACACTAGCTATAACAATGACTCTCAAAGTGAGCATTTTAAAAGGTATATTATAGAAGGGAAATTAGAAGTATTTATGATGGTGACAGCACCACTACCTTAATAAGGATAGTCTCTTTGTTTAGTTTAAAACATGGTTAGTAGTAACACCATTCATTATTTTCTCCTTAAATAATATTCTCCTACTATAAGCAGACAGTAAGGGCACTAATATATATAAACTTTAAACTGTTTAAAATATCCTGCTTTTCATGATAATTGTCATCATTGACTATGTATTAAGTTGATGGGCGAAAAATGCCCTAATGCTAGATTGAAGTGATGGGCAGGCAGAATGTGAAGTTTTACCTGCAGCGGGGATGAAATTTTCCTAAAACTTTATAACAAAAATATGGAGCCAGCCCTGACAACCAAGTGATTCAAGTTTGCTGCTCTCACCACTTCGGCGGCCCAGGTTCATTTCCCAGTTGCAGAAGCACACCACCCGTCTGTCAGTTGCCATGCCGTGGCAGGGCTCACACAGAAGAACTAGAAGGACTTATGACTAGGGTATACAACTGTGTACTGGGGCTTTGGGGAGGGAAAAAAAAAAGAGAGAGAGAAAGATTAGCAACAGATGTTAGTTCAGGGTGAATCTTTCCCTGCAAGAAAAAAAAAGGTCTTCAGATAACATTTTTGTTAAAAAATGCAAGCAGTCTGTCTTCTATATTCTCCCAGAGGCAGGGTAGGTGGGCTTGGGTCCCCATTCCACATATTAACAAGGAGGCTTTGGCTAAAGTGATGCAATCCCTCTGCAACTTAGTCCTCGTTTATAAAGTGGCCATTACAGAAGAAACTGATTCGGAGAGCTGATGAAGATGAAGTGGGATGTTTGTATCATCCTTCTCACACATTCAATGCAGATCAGCTGCTACTGGATTCTGTGACTGATGGTTAATGTTAACTGAGGGCTTAACTTGTGCGAGGAGACCTTGTCACCAAGTGCTTTATTCACCTCATCGTAATGATCCAACAACCCTATGAATCAGATACTGTTATCCCCGTTTTACAGATGAGAAAAATTAGGCACAGAGATTTTCAGCAATTTGTCCATTGTCACACAACTGGTAAGTGATGGGGCTAGATTAAGACCCCAAAAAGCCTGGCTCCAAACCCATTTTATGTACCCAGGGTAACTACACAAGTTATCTCTCAAGTCATTGTACTTAACTCACGGCAGGTTGGTGATACAGAAAGTCGTCAGCAAAAATTCAAAGCAATAGGTGTTTCCAACCAAAATGCATCCACTAGGGCCTGGAGTTCTTTTGCACATACAGAAAGTGTCATTGGAAAAATAACTAAAATGACTGATAACGAGGCATTACCTTATCTATCTGATTACTCCTGAAAGAAAAGTAAAAGAATTCCAAGTGTTTGGATGTGAAGAGGCAAATAAGAAAATATCAACAAAAATAGCTGACCAACATATGAAGAAAATGTTCATCTTGATTAGTAACTGCGGCAATAGCAACATCCAGTGTGTGTGACGGTTTGGAGGAGCAGCGAAGACAGATTCAAACAGCCTTCTGCAGGGCAGCTTGGCAATGTCTCCCAAAAGCCTCGCAGGGCCATGCCCTCTCCCGAGCAATTCCACTCCTAGGACTTTATGCCATACAAAGGAATGCATAAACATGTTCATTTAAACATTATTTATAATAAAAAATTGGAAACAACCTAATGAGGAATTTATTATGCATATGACTATGTGAATTTATGCTAAGGAAATGGCTATGGATGTGTGCAAAGATTTGTCAACACAGATGTTCATGATAGTAAATAGTAAATAACAGAAAAAGAAAGAAAGAAAATGACTTCAGCTGTTAAAAGAAAAGACTAAATAAATTATAGTGCACCTACATAATTTGGAACTAATGTTGTAGTAATCCATAAATAAGCATATGAAAAGACTCAAAAAACATACACTAAGAGGTTAGCAATCATAAAGTCAGACTTGTGGTCTAAAAGTGAATTTTGCCTTATTTTCTTTGTGTTTCCAGACTGTCTGCATTAAGCATGCATTACTTTTGTACGAGTGAAAAATAAGAATATTATAATAAATAGAAAGAACTATTTATTTTAGTGTGAAAAAAATTTCAGGTCTGTAGTAATCAAGATTCTAAACTGCAAGTGACAGAAAGCTCAGCTCAAACTGTCTTAACTAGAAGGAAGTTATTGCTTTACATGCTTCAGGCATGGCTGGATCCAGGCCTCAGGGATTGTTGTTAGGATTTGGTTTGTCTCTCACCATCTCTTTATCTTTTGTCTTTCTTTTTTCTCTATTGCTTCCTTTCCAGGAAAGTTCTCTCTATTATGTGATGGCAAACCGTCCATGAAGATATTTGTATCCTCCTCTCTCAGCAAACCCTCCAACTGCCTTTTCAATGAGAGTTATAAGTCCTGAATCTTATTTTCACTGGTCACCTTGGGATAGTTTACCCATCCTTGATCCAATCAAATAGCCCCATGAATGGAACGCCCTGTTGGTTATGCCTGGCTCACATGTCCACTGCTGGAGCCAGGAGGTGAGGTCAGCTAGGATGGTATTGAGTGAGAGTGGGGAGCAGTGGTTCCCTAAGAGGCAATAAAGTTCCTTGTGAATAAAAGAAGAGTGGAGGATCCTGGTGAGGTAAAAGCCACAACAACAAAGACACGAAAACACATTCATCACAAGGTTTCGGTGTTTCTTTAGATGCTGGCTAGGTGTGGCTAGGAATAGCATTAGCAGCCTTGAATCATTTAGGTCTCTTGTGGTTGCAAGTGACAGAGAGTTCATAGACCTGGCTTAAACAACAAAGAGAATTTATTGGCTTAGTAACTGAAAAGTCCAGAGGTAGGGCTGGCTTCAGGTAAGTCTGAGCCATACAAGGATCTGGCTCTCACAATCTCTCCAAATTCACACAAAGGCCCCTGGCAACTCTGGGCTCTCCCCAGGGTGGGAGATTACTCCGGCAGTTCCCTGCCTCGCATCCTCATACCACACCAGGTGTGACCAGGGACAGAGAACCCCTTTTATTATTTTCCACACAAGTCCTGTGATTGTCACCTCTCTCACAGGCCCGAACTGGAAGAGTCTGAGAAGCATTGGTATTCATTCTTCCTTGAATGTTTGGTAGAATTGACCAATGAAGCCGGCTGGACCTGGACTTTTCTTTGTTGGGAGGTTTTTGATTACCGATTCAATCTCCTTACTGGTCATAGGTCTCTTCAGATTTTCTATTTCTTCATGATTCGGTGTTGGTAGTTGAATGTTTCTCAGAAATTTTCCATTTCCTCTAGGTGGTCCAATTTGTTGGCATATAATTTTTCCTAGTAGTCTCTTATGATCCTTTGCATTTCTGTGGTATTAGTTGTAATGTCTCCTTTCTCATTTCTAATTTTATTTATTTGAGACCTCTCTCTTTTTTTTTTTGATGAGTCTAGCTACAAGTTTGTCACTTTATCTTTTCAGAAAACCAGCTCTCATTTTCATTGACTTTTCTATTGTCGTTAGCCTCTATTTCATTTACAATGTCCACTCTGATCTTTGTTACTTCCTTCCTTCTACTAACTTTGGGTTTAGTTTGTTCCTTTTTCTCTAGTTCCTTGAGATGTAAAGTTAAATTGTTTATTTGAGCTCTTTCTTTTTTCTTAATGCTTATCACTATGAATCATTGACCCACATTGGATTATGAGCTCATCCTTGACCAATCTATGTGGCCTGAGGAATGGCATATCTTAATTGACTTGTGCCAATTAGAGTCCATTTCTGGAGTTGGGGGTGGGGTCCATCCCATCAACGCCACCAGGGAGAATGGAAGGGGGGTGTGTGTCCAAGGAAAATGAAGGTGGGGGAGGGAAGAATTCATGCTGGAGGGATAACCAGTGAATGTCAATCACAACTCTGTAGGAGTCAGACATTTTGAAATTCTTAACTAGTTGTTCCTTTCTGAATAGGAAATATGTATTAAAACTACATCCTGCTTGTGGCTTAGTTGCAGAATATTGCTAACTTACCTGGCTAAATGAAGAAGCATATATTTATCACAGGTCTTCAACCACATCTCTGTTTTAAACCTTTCAAATGTGCCTGCTGTTATCAAGAGGGGTAGAGACAATCCCAGCATCCTGTAAACTGTGTGACCAGCCATGGGCAGCCTCTCTTCTCTTCGGGTTGTAATAACCTGAAAACAGTTTTGTTTTTTTTTAACACATATTTTCATGAAGCTTTGTTTAGGGAAACATATGGGGCTTTGAAATGTCAGCACACTGGGAGGGAAACAGGAAGTTTAAAGGGTTTTGTGCTCCTGTCTCTTTTATTGACAGAGGGGGTTCAAAGTCGTGCAGGGTTAGCGAGAACAACAAACAAAATGATCCATGTCTGCTTTGGATGACATCTGTCCACTAGGACGGTCACTAGCTTTTGGTTTTGAAAGGTTTTCGGTAGATGGCACAGGCTAGGAAGGAGATGTTTTCCTTCCATCTCCAGAAGGAAGTTTCATGAATTCTTGCAGAGCCAACCTCTTGTGTGATAAATAAATGTGCCTCTGCCAGAGAGAGCAACGAGAAAAACTCAGCAACTGACAGCTTAAGAGGGAAAAAAAAAATCACCAAGGCTAATGTCATTGCAAATGAGGGACAGCTTTGAAGGTTACATGATTAAAAATGCTCTGCACAGACAACAGCAGGGCTTGGCATCCGATGTGACTAACTGATCTGTTTTCCCGTGTGGCAATTGCTGCAGAAAAATCCCCCATCTTGTCTCACATGAGTCAACAGAATTCTGCAAAAGTGTCAGAAAATGGCCTGAAAACATTTCTTCCCCCAGGGCCCATCTTCCAGGGATGATGGAAGTGGGGAGACGAGAGTCACGGGGGGAAGTGGTCGGCCTGGTCACCAGAGGTCTGCCACACATAAAGAATGGGTACCCAGCAGGCTTGTGCGTGATGGCAGATGGGACAGAGACTTCCAGTACAACCACAGTGAGCCCTGCCATGGCTTCCTGGCTGCCCACCACGCTCACGGAACATCAACCACTGATCAAGGACCTACATTTCCAGGCAGTAAAGGAAGACTTCCTGTTTCTAACCTCTGACTCTTGCCGCAACTATTTTGTCCGTTGGATTTTCTAGGTCCCAGGCCTAGGTCCCATGAGTTTCCAGGAGCCCATAAATGTGACTGAGTCCCCAACGAAAACAATGATCAGCCCTACTATAGACCAGGAGCATTGCAAAACCTGAATTAACAAATGCTTACATAAATGCCCACAAAGCATAGAATTATCACAATTCCACGAACTATTGAATTGATTATTCATAAAAAGTTCATTACATTTGAAAACTATTTTAACGTTAGGTTTGATTTCCCTTCAAAAGAACTCCCAATTTTGCGTGATGACTGCTGGAAGCTGGAGCCAGTCGTAAACCAAATGCGCCCCTCATTGCCAAAGGATCGCAAAAGCAAAATTATAGCAGTCCTTTAAAAATGTTTCAGCCAGGGGACTGGCCCGGTGGCACAGCGGTTAAGTTTGCATGTTCTGCTTCGGCGGCCCAGGGTTCCCCGGTTCTGATCCCGGGTGAGAACACGGCGCCGCTTATCAAACCATGCTGTGGCAGGCGTCTCACATATAAATTAGAAGAAGATGGGCACAGATGTGAGCTCAGAGCTAGTCCTCCTCAGCAAAAAGAGGAGGATTGGCAGCAGATGTTAGCTCAGGGCTAATCTTCCTCAAAAGAAAAAGTTTCAGCCAAAATTATGTTTAATGTGGAAGGTGGGTGCATTTAAATATATTTGCTAGGATGTAAGAGGGAATCTTCAAAAGAAACGGTAGCTAGAACTCAAAGGTCTGTCAACCAGTCCAGAACCTGCTGAGTGTTGATCAACACAGGTGTAAGTCCCAGGGTCCTTCCTTCTATGCATCACATTGGGACCCACACACCCCTCCAACAAATGTGGTGCAGGGGCCAGGGCACGTGGCAACCTGAGGAGAGTGACTCTTGTTCACTCGGTAGCCGGTCATCACATATTTACATGCCTGCTATGTTCCAGGTAATGTTCTGGTCTCTGAGAATGCAGTCATCAAACATATTAATCCCTGCGCCGAGGGAACTTTCAGTCTAGTGGGATCAGACTATCACCAAATAGGTTAGATGTGTGGTGGGTTAGGTAGTTGTAAATGCCAAGGAGAAAAGTCAAGCAGAGAATGTGGCAATTTGCAGTTTTAGACATAGTAGCAAGAGACGGCCTCACTGAGAAGGGGTTATTTGAGCAAAGAACTGAAACTGGTGAGGAAGAAATTCAGGCAAATATTTGAGGGAAAAGCATTCCAGGCTGAGGAAGGGCAAATGCAGATACCCAGAGGCATGACATGTTTGGATCGTTCCAGGAAGAGCAAGAGGCCAGTGCAGTTATAAAGGAGTAATCAAGACTGGGACAAGTATTTGATAAGGTCAGCGAGGCTTCTGGGAGCCAGACAGGGTAGGGCCTCATGAGCCATCCTAAGGAGTTTGGACTTTATTCTAAGAGAGATGCGAAGCCATTAGAGGCAACAGTGTGACACGATCTGATTTACGTATTAACAAGATGACCATGGCTGCAGTGCTGGGCACACAAGGAAAGTGACAAGAGCAGAAGCAGGGGGATCACAGTTTTTGCTATTGCTCTGGCCATGTCTGTGGCTATCCTGGTCATCTAGGTGAGAGACGCTGGCAGCGTGGACCAGTGTGTGTGTTGGAAGTGATGAGAAGTGCTAAGATGCTGGATCCATTTGGACTTCGAACTCTCACTTTTCTTCTGTGTGGACATTTCCCTCCTCTTCCCACCATTCCCCACTCTGTTCAGGGGAAACTCAAGCAAAACAGAGTGGGAATGGGTGCTCCAGGACCCCAGGAACACCAGCGCACCTTCCAGTCATTCCCAGCAGCAGAGACACGACCCTTGCCACCTTGGTCTTCATGCACCATCTCTGGTACCCAGAACCTCCGCGGGCCGCTGTCCTGGGAGAGGAAACAGACAACTAAGTTTAGGGCAAGCTGGTCACAAACACTAGAGAAAAAAGTCTGGCTACTCTTTTGTTTTAGAAACAGTTAGTCTCTGGGGATTTCTTTTGTCCTTGCTTCCAGCAGCTGCCCTGGGAGGTCGCAACTTGCCTTTGTTGGGTGTTGGTCTCCGTGGCATCCAGTTCTTTGGGGATGCCACGGCCATTGTTTCCAGAAGCTCAGATGATTTTTCTACGTATGTGCTAACCCGTGGGCTTTACCTTGAGCGTGACATCAGGAAGGACGCCCTTTTACTTGATTGCCTCGCATGCTCTGCTTCCCCCAGGGCCAGGGGCTCGGTTGCCAGTCACAGGCTGGTCTGGGGTCCCGTAGCTTTCAGGCAGCTGTGAAGTTTTGGTAAGAGGACAGGTATTGGAGCAGGGGTTCAACATAAGTTTTAAAGGGATAAAAGTGGTGCATGCCTGTTTAAAAATATTCACGCAACAAGAAACTTTTAAAAAGTGAAAAGTGAAAATTCCTACTCTCTAGAAACCATTGGCAAGAGCTTGCTTTCCATCCTTTCAGAGTTTAGGTGTGATTGGAAATGTGGATTCTTGGGTCCCCTCCAACAGGAGCGGAGCTTTGTATTAATACGCGTTTTAACAAGTTCACCAGGTGATTCTCAAGGACTCTAAAGTTTGAGAGGCCTATTGTCCCTTGACCTTTCTATTAACACAAAACATAAGTGTATGCATATAGTTTCACACACACAGACTAATCACATACCCACAGGGATTCTTGCAGCACTAACTGAATGTAGCTGGGACTCAACAATGTATCACTGATAACCTTCCCGGTCAGTATACGTACGCAGCAACACCTCATAGTTTGGAACAGCCGCTTCCTCTTCCGTGGCAGTCATGGACATAGAGTATTTATCTGGCCTCCTGTTAGGCATTTGTGTTGTCTTTGGTTATTTGGAGCTGGTTTTGGATCCCTCCTTGGCCACTCTGTAGCTGTGTACACTTGGTCAAGTGTTTAATTATTTTATGACTCACTTTTTTCCTTCATCTGTAAAACAAGGTTACTAATCGTCTCCCCTAAGGTGGTTATGAGGATCGGAAGCGCTTACCTGAAGGACAGAGCGTACATCATGCCCAACATAGAATCGGTGATGAAATAGTGACTGACTGTCAGTCATTTGCTGACCCGCCTCACACTCTGGGGTCTAAAAATGTGGTGTTCTAAGACAGGCTTCCAGTGCTCCAGCTGGGAGAGCGCAGGGCTGTGGCTTGAAGTCAAGGGGCTGCTATTTGAATAACATTCCTCAGCCTAGACATAGACCAACGTAGTTTCTACTCTGGGCCACTGTACTTATTGCCACGACACAGAAAACACGTTCCAATCTGCTTCGGAGGCCATTTCTCTAAGCTGTGTTGGACTTTTTTCTTTTCAACTTTTTATTTTGCTATAATTTCAGTCATACAGAAGTTGTGAGAATAATACAAAGATTCTGCACTTGTATCCTCCAAATATTAATATTTACCACATTTGTTTTACACATACACAGACATAGACACACACACACATAAACACATTCACATTTTTGTCCTGAACCTTTTGAGAGTCAATTTCATGGAGGTGACCAACTCTTCCCAGTTTGCCTAGGACTTTTTTGACTCTCACACTGAAAGTCCTGCATCCGGGAGCCCCTTCAGTCCCAGGCAAACCGGGGTAATTGGTCACCCTAGTTGCAGCCATGCTGCCCATTTACCTGTAAATACTTCAGTGTGTATGTACGAAAAACAAGGACATCACCACTGTACAATTATCAAAATCTAGAAGTTAACTTTCATACAAAATACTCTTCAATCTACAGACATTTTTCTGATTTTGATGCTCTTTCCAATAATGTCCTTTGCAAAAAGAAAATCCCAGATCATGAATTGCGTTCATGTATCGTGTTTCTTTTCTATTCTTTAATCTGAACCAGTTTCTCAGTCTTTGTCTTTTGTGACATTGACATTTGTGAAGAGAATAGGCCAAAATATTATGTAGAATGTCCCTCGGTGTGGGGTTGTTTGATGTTTTCACACGATTGGATTCCGGTTATTTATCTTAGGCAGGAATCCCAAAGAAGTGAAGCACCCGGTGTTGATTTATCCCACCACCAGGTATATTAACTTTGATCACTTGACTGAGGGGGCTTCTGCTAGGCTTCCCCCCTGTAAAGTTACTATTTTCCCCCGTTGCAATTAATAAGTATGCTGTGGGGAGCTATTTGGAGACTATGTGAATATCTTGTTTCTCATTAGATCTCCCACTTGTTTTCGTATCCATTGATGACTCTCCCCTGAATCAATTATTTTTACGATGGGTTGCCCAATGATTGGACTTTATTTTTGAAAGTGTTTAACAATGGAGAATCTTCATTAGAAGTGCACAGGTGGAGACAGACAAGTTAGAGATAATTACAGTACAAAGTAGCAATTGCTCTGTAAGAAAGGAAAGCAGGGTCAAATGTAGCCCAACCCTGTTTTTGTAAATAAAGTTTTATTGGAACACAGCCATGCCATTCTGCTTACCTATTGTCTATGACTGCTTTTGCACTACAATGGCAGAATTCAGAAGTTGCAACAGAGGCTCTGCAGGCCCCGGGGGGTGCAGCAAGTCACATGCGTTCCTGCCCTGGAAACTAGTATTGTGTAGGGCTTCTCCGTTTGGGTTGCCACACACACTCAGAGGTATCACGCCGTGTCTTACTTAAAAGAGATTAACTCTGATTTGTTTTGTTTTTAAGTATGACTATAAATTATCAAGAAGAAGGAAAATTATACTAAGTCATAGTAGTTAAATACAATTACCATAATTAGCCTGACCAAAGTCTTTACATAGCAAAGTATTGCCAAATTCTGTAAGGATGTCCTCTTTACTTCTAGCAAATATTTGCTACAACAAAACTCCAAGGATCAAAGGAATTTGAACTCTCAAAGCATATAACATGAAGACAGACTCTGTTCTGGCACTAGATTTGCTAAAGATAAGTAATAAGGTTATTACTGGGAGGTTAAAAAGTGCCAATTAGTCATCTACATGTGAAATTACTTTTCTTTCCAGAATGTATCTTGTTCACTAAAGCTCCAGGCAGGATGAGGCTAAATTGAATGTGTTGCTCAGAAGGCTATGTTTTGTCATAGGAAGAGGAAGTTCTGGAAAATCAATTAAGAACTCAAAGTAACTTAATCTTGTTGATTGTTCCCTTTTACAGGGAACACCCATGTAGTGCTGGAATGACGACTCCAGAGAAAGATCAGATTTTCAGGGCGAGCATATATGATTAAAGTAAAGTAGAGAATTAAATGTCTTTCTGGTGAATTTTGGCCACAAGAAAATTGATCTAGATTTTTGTAAAGTCAAAGCAACAATTTCTTATTGGTGAAAACCATCCGTAGGAGATTCTTGCTTGATATAGTGTCAGGATGAGGAGGAGAAGAGAATTTTGGTGAGTGATAGAGGTTTTACTAAAAATTATTACTTTAGGCTCTAGGGAAGCATGTGACTTTAAAGCAGATAAAGCAGCCAAAAAACTAGATAGAATGTTGAAGATTTGGAAGAAGAGAAAAAGGAACCCAAATGTTTACAGAATGGCTGAAGACGGAAAAGGAAAAGTAGATGGATCGGTGTAAAACTAAGGCACAGAAACTTCTGCCCGAGACTCTCACTGAGGGTGGATAATAGAGATTAAGCACAGGCAGCAAAGAGCAGCTGAGCCCTGAAATGGACATCTAGGAAGGGAAGAGGGCAGATCCGGGACTTTCCTTTTTCTAGTCACCTCTGGTCTCAGCACAGGGCAAAGGTATACTTTGCTTTAAACAAAGTATTATGGACTGCGTGTTCGTGTCCCTCCAAATTCATATGTTGAAACTTTAACCCCCAGTGGAATGGTATTAGGCAGTGGGACCTTTGGGAGATACTTAGGGTTAGACGAGGTCATGAGGGTGGGGCCCTCATGAAGGGGTTAGTGCCTTTATACAAAGAGGAGGAGACAGGGATCTCTCTCTCTCTTTCTCTCTCTTTCTGCTGCCTGTGGACGCAAGGAGAAGACAGTCATCTGCAAACCAGGAAGAGGGACCTCACCAGACACTAAATCGGCCAGCGATTTAATCTTAGACTTCCCAGCCTCTGAAACTGTGAGAAACCAATGTTTGTTGTCTAAGCCACCCAATCTATGGTGTTTTTGTTACAGCAGGTCGAACTAAGACACAAAGCACACATTCTTATCCAGAAGAGTTAGGGGGAAAGGATATAAGGAAAAATTGAATATTCTAGTTTCCTAAAAGTTCTTGAATTATTTGCATTTCTTTAGAATTTCCTGGACATTTTCACATACATTGTTTTACTGTCATGGTGCATTCTGAAACAGGCATTATCAGCCCCTTTTTACAGATAGCAAAACCAAGGACCAGAAAAGTAAAGTGACTTAGCCAAAGTTAGCCAATCCTCAGACTCAGGCCTCTTGATTTAAGATCAGTGCATTTTCACAGGGCACTACAGGGACTCTCTGATTTGTCAATGTATGACAATATGTTGTACAAGTGTGTGGCAGGAAATAGCGTTCATTCTAGATGGTGCAAATGGAGAGACTCTAACAAAGGGGCTGCTTCCAAGGTGTGGGCAGGGCGCAGAGAACAAACAGAGAGGCGGTGTGTCCACCTCCTGCAGTAGTGGAGGGCGGTTACTACTCCTAAGAGCTGAAGGAGGGAAAGGGGGATACAGCGTGTCCCAGCTCCCGGCGTGTCGGGAGCCAAGAATGTGAATGGGGCTGCCAGCCGGAGCTGACATGGGAACAGGGGCAGTTGGTGCCAGCCAACGGACACCAGAGCGGGAGGAAGCAGAGAAGAAGCACGACAGCCTCCCTGTCGCCTGGCCTCAGTTCTCCAGCCAATCCCTGCCACTGGCCATCAAGGGAGTCGGCCAGAATGAGGCTGTCCACGTGGGTGGCCTCTCTGAGCAGAGGGCAGGGCAGTGGCGTCTGAATCCAGGAGGGGACAGGAAGGAGGTGGGCAATGAAAAGGGAATAGCCAGCGCTCTGACCTCACAAAGTTGGAATATCCTAAAAAACACCTAACACCAAAATAAAGTTGAACACAACTGATATGGGCTCAGGCCCCAAATCCCTTATCTGAAGCCCTTTGGGCCAGATATGTCTGGAATTCATAATGCTTTGTATTCTAGAAGTATAATAACATGCATAAACTATATATTATATAATGCCCCCAGCAGGGTCTGGGACAACACCTGTAGCAAAACACATTCATATGTCTGCAGCAAAACGTATGAATATTTACTCTAAGTGAGATAAATGAATATAAATAACTTCTCATTAGTTCAGGTCAATTTTTGCTACCAAATGAATTTTGGAATTGTGGATAAGGAGTTATTGACCAGTAGTTCAATTTTCAGAAGGCACCCTAAGATTTTGTGGCATTTTATTGTCATTATTATAAATGTTGGTTGTCCTCGTACAGTCTTTCTTTTACTCTCTAGTTAATTATATCTATTTTTTCTGGATTCTAGAAAAATGAAAATTTACCTTATATAATTTTTTTAAATTATTAATTAAAAAGTAGAAGAAGGTGGCGCTTCATTTTGCAAACGAGTCTCTGTCCTGGAAGTGATTCACAGCAGATTCCACTTTAAATAGCAAGCATCCTGGTAGTCACAGTTTGGCTTTGTTGACAAGAAGCAGAGCTGCATGCTCCTTTTCCCAGGTGGCCTTGAATGCTGTGTCAAGGCAAGGCCCCCTGGAAGGGAAGAGAACACCTCCCGGTCTCTGTCCCCTTGGACGGTTGGCGCTCTCTGGAGAGCCCAGGTCCGCAGAGTGAGGAGTCGTTTCCTGGAATTCAGTGGGGATGTTCAGCGGTGATTTTGCTGGCAGGCATTCTTAGTCTCTAAACCTCTGAAAACCACAGTTCTCAGAACGACTTAACAGGAAGCCTCACCCACGAACAGAGGAAGCTGAGGAAGGAAGGAAAGATGGCAGTGCTGGGGGAGGGTCAGTATATTAAACAATGAGCAAAGTCACACTCCTTGGGACTGCTTCTACGTGGTCAGAGGAAGCACCCTCATCTGCACCTTCCTCACTGCCCCCCAGCGCTCTCCTAGGTATCCTGCACTCTGCTGGCTGGATCATTCCCCATTTCCCAGGCCCACTCAGAAATGTCCTGCCTCAGGCCATTTGCACTAGGGTTCCCTCTCTCTGGACCACTTCCTTCCCCTCCTCCTCATGCTCTCCAATGCCACTGCCCAACTATCGCTGTCTTTCACGACCTTCACAGCCAAAGTTCACCTCTTCTACAAGGAAGTAATTGCTGCCTTCTCTCCAGGCTGATAGCCCACAAAATGGTGTAGATTTTCCTCATGATTCTCACTGTATTCCACCTTGTATTAAAGGAATTGTCTTATTTCCTTTCCAAAATTAAAAGCTTTGTTCATTTACAACTTTTTTTCATTAATTCATTAAGCATTTATTCCAGGTTTACTCTGTGTAGGTATGATACTGGGCCTGGGAATTTGAAGATAAGTAAGATAGAGTTTCTGCATCACAGAGTTTACAGTCCAGTGGGAGAAAATAGGCAATATCAGAACGGAGTGGTCTGGAAGCACATAAGAGGGACATGTCACCCAGCTTGAGTGTGTGCTAGTGGGGAGTGATCAGGGAGGGCTGAAACCTTGAAGACAATGGGAGGTAGACTAATGCATGGTGGGAAAGGTTGTTCTTGGCAAAGAGAGCAACGTGGTACAGGGCCGGAGGCTTGAGGATTGGAACATATTCCAAGATCTGCAGATAATTGAGCGTAACTGGTCTATGGAAGTCAAGAAAGAGGGTGTGGTGGAGAAAGCATTGGGGAAAGGTGAAGCTGGACAGTGAGCAGTGGCTTGATCGTGAAGGGTCTTATCAACCTTGCTGTGGAATTTAGTTTAGTCCATGGTAGCTCGTAAGTGACCTGTATAGACAAGGCACTCGATGCCACAGGTCAAGATATGATTACCTGGTATCTTAGGTTGAGGTCCCACAGAAGCAGATGCTGAGATAAAGATTCAAGTGCAAACAGGTTCATTGGGAAGCAATTCCAAGAAGGGCTGTTAGTGGGTTGGGAGGTAGGTCAGGAACAGGAAGGCGGCCACTACAGGCAACATTGACAAAGCAGTTTGTTGTTGTGAGCAGCTCGGCTCAGACCTCAGGAGAACTGCACAACAAGCTTGAGAGTCATTCGGCTCAAGGGGTGAGGAGGCTGAGGTCTTATCCGCTGGCTCCCCCCTGTCGTTGCTCGAGGGCTGCTCTCAGCGTCTTTCACGCCTCAACACTGTGGCCTGCCCCGTGTGAGGGCCACAGGAACCTTCAGCTGGAGAAAACTTGCAGGCCCTTGGAGAAGAAGCCATCGGTGTGTATAGAAACAGCCAGTGACAAGGGATAGCGTGGGACACGAGCATGTGCTACATCTGGTCATTCAGATAGAATAATTTGGGAAAACATAGCTGGTTTTGGAGTCAGAGCAGGAAAGAGACGGCCTCCTCAAGGGGTAACTGAAGAGAGTTGGATGAAGTGACAACTGACAGAGATGTGTGCAGGTAAGGCAGCCCCAAGGGAAGCCACATGCTGAGAGCTTGCAGCAGTGGTCTCAGTACTCGGGGATCTGAAGTGGGGGCCCAGCCTCCTCACACCTCGGGCAGGTCAACTCTGAGGCTGGTCCTACAGTGTTTTCTAGAGGTCTGCGCCAAGCATCTCACAGTGGCAACCTGCCATCAATACTCCTGATAATGGCCACTTTCCCTTTCCTGGCCCACTTTCCCACTCCCGTAAACAGTCTATCTTAACCCAATTAACCTTCTTGGTAGAAGATGGTGAGAGATGGAATGGAGGAGAAGAACTTACCCAACAGGAGTGTGGCCTTAGTTAGAAAATTGCAGCCCTGCCCAGTGACGGCTTGCTAGACAGGGAAGCGAAGGCCACAAGCACTGTGTCCCTTCTCTTGCTCAGTCCCCCAGCCAGAGGACAAGGAAGCCCCAGTGTTGTGGTGGGTCCACATGCAGCACACCTCCCTCACAGCAGGATATAATTTTTAACCTGCACTGTTCAGATTGGTACCTACGCTCCCAGAAAACTCATCATTTCATGGCAAACAGCTTCATCCCACAATGCCTTATGTTTGTGAGCTTCTTATAGTTACAGTTACTTTTCACTGACCCCGTACTCCTTTTGCCTTAAAATAACCGGGTCAGCTGTGCAGAGCAGGTGTAAATAGCCATTCCCTATTGAGGCAGGAGTCCAAATCTTATCTTTTGCTTCCAAGTCCAGCATTCACTCCAGCACACTATGTCTTCCCAGGAAACAAGGTCGTTGGTGCTCAGCAATGACCACATTCTGAGTGTTTACCGCACATCTTTGTAATTGTTCAGTTTGTGCTTAGAGTCAGTAACCAAACTTCTCGATTTCTGGAGCTCTCTTTCAGCTTCAAATTTCTTAGTTTAGTAATGATCTCCCTTAAATTAGATATGACCTAGGGTGGTGCCATAGACAGAATGTTTGTGTCTCCCCCGGCCCTCCCAGCTCCAACTCATGTGTTGAAATCCTAACCCCTAATGTGATGGTTTTAGGAGGTGGGCCTTTGGGAGGTGATTAGGTCATGAGGGTGGAGCCCTCAAGAATGGGATTGGTGCCTATGTAGGGGCTGAAGAGACCAGAGGATGTGAGGACACAGTGAGAAGACAGCTGTGTATGAACCAGGAAGTGGGCTCTTAACAGAATGAATCTGCTGGCACCTTGATCTGGACTCCCCAGCCTCCAGACCTGTGAGAAATAAATTTCTGTTGTTATTAAGCCACCCGGTCTGTGCTATTCTGTTATAGAAGGCAGGACAGACTAAGACAGGTGGGTATATCAGATCTCCTTAACTGTTGAATTTCATGTAAAATCTACTTAGGCAGTGGGAGGCTGACGGAACTGAACTTGTTGAATATCTACTACGTGCCAGACAACTTGTAAATGTCATCACTCTACAAGTGGAGAAACCTGGGCCCAGAGAGGCTGAGTAACCTGCTCGAGGTTACACGTATCTGGTGGGGCAGAGGTACTAACAGAATCTGTGTCTTACTGACTCCAAATTCCATATTCTTCCATGCTTCAATAAATGTTTCTAGTGGATTATTGCTAAGAAAATCGATAGTAGTTATTTTTAGAAACACAACAAACAAGATAAGCCAGAGGAATCATTTTCTGGGTTCTCAATGACACACGATATGCCTCTTGCAAAGGCGTGTCCTTCAGCTGCACTGTCAGGAGCCTGGGCTCTGGAGCCAGACCACCATTGTCGCACTCTGGCTTGTCACTTATCTCTTATTCACTTTGTAACTTTGGATAAGTTATTCAACCCTCCTGTGCCTCAGTTTCCCCATCACCAAAGTAGGGCCAATAATAGCCCTTCCCCCAGGGGTATATTGAACATTACTCGAAGCTCGTGGTGCTGGAGCAGAGTAAGCGTCCAGTGAGATCTGCTGTGATTGTTCACATTTCAACCCATGACCTATCCTGGAGAATGCAGGGTTGACCTGAACAGGCCAGGAATCCGGGACCCAGAGGGCTGGGTTCTTTGGTGTCCTGGTCATGTTCCCTGTGGATGGGAGAGCGTGACCTCGCCAAGCAAGTGGCATAGTGAGGGGTGGGCAGTTCTCGTCAGAAACATATTTTGGTCTGTGGTTTCTCTGAGCCATTTTTATCTTTGCCAAATGACCCTCTTGGGAAAATGAGGCTGCTCGATATATAAATAGCCAGGATGCAAGAGAGGAAGTGAGAGGTTTCCCAAGAGAGGGCAGAGCAGTGGTTGTGGGAGCTCAGAGTCGGGCCCAGCACATGGCACCCGGCCAAGGTGGGCGCTCGATCAGGATCGCTGAACCAATGGATGGGTTCAAATGACTTTTCTTGTGGCAGACCATCCTCCCTCCTTGGACAGAAGACATTGTCTTGATGGCAGGTGGCAGCTCAATTTATGTTAAGCTGGCTTTGGCTGAGGCAGGACGGTTACTGGTCTCTCCATCTCTAACTCGAGAGTGGGAAGGACTCTGGATCCCTGCTGTGTCTCCTGAGGGAACCCTGTCCGCCAACACCCCTCAGAGCTCCCTGGAAATGTTACAGGGAAAGAGGAAGGGAAGCTTTGCCTTCTCATGGGCGTCAGAGGGCGGGGGAAGGAGGTGTCTGAATTACTCACTCACTCAGTTATTAGGTGTTGGATGAGTTTCCTAGGGCCGCCATAACAAAGTACCACAAACCAGCCAGCTTGAAACAACAGAAATATTCTCTCACAGTTCTAGAACTAGAAATTGGAAAGCAAGGTGTCAGCAGGGCAACACTCTCTGAAGGCTCCAGGAGACGATCCCTTGTGTCTTCCTACCTTCTGGCATTTGCCAGCCATCTTTGGTCTTCCTCGACTTGTAGTTACATCGGTCCAGCCTCCGTCTCTGTCATCACATGGCTTTCTTCCCTGTGTGTCTGTCTCTGTCTGTATCTTCACATGGCCTCTTATAAGGACACCAGTCATTGGATTTAGTGCCCGCCCTAGTCCAGTATGACCTCACCTTAACTAATTGCATCTGCAAAGACTCTACTTCCAAAAAAGGTCACATTCTGAGGTTCTGTGTGGACATGAATTTTGGGTATAGGTGTCTTCTTTATGCCAGACACCCTGCTAGTTTGCCTGGATATAAAAATGAGTAAGACTCTCACAGGCTCACAGTCTACTGAAGAGGTAGGCACATAAGGAAATTATTGTAATTCCATGAGCTAAATATGAGCTAACACTTTACACTTATTGAACACTTACTAAGTGCCTGGCACCATTTTAAACAAAGTACATTTTCGCTTGATGGATGAATGGATAAAGAAAATATGGCATATATATATATATATATACACACACACGCACACATACAAACACTGGAATATTATTCAGACATAAAAAAGAGAGAAATCCTACCATTTTTGAGAACATGAATGGAACTTGAGGACGTTCTGCTAAGTGAAATAAGTCAGATAGAGAAAGGCAAATACTGTATGATCTCATTTATATGTGGAATCTAAAAAAACCGAACTCATAGATACAGAGAATGGATTGGTGGTTGCCAGAGGCAGGGGTCAGGGGTCAGTGAGGTAGCTGAAGGTGGTCAAGAGGTACAGACTTCCAGTAATAAGAGAAATAAGTTCTGGGGGTGGGACGTACAGCATGACGACTATAGTTGACAATACTGTATATTTGCAAGTTGTGAAGAGAGTACATCTTAAAAGTTCTCATTACAAGAAAAAAAATTTGTAACTATGTAAGGTGATGAATGTTAACTAAACTTATTGTGGTAATCGTTTTGTAATATATACGTAGATCAAATCTTTATGTTGTACGCCTTAGACTAATACAATGTTACGTGTCAATTATATCTCAATAAAACTGGAAAAAATAAAAAATTTTTAAATTTAAACAAGTGTATATTTAAACTCGTATGATCCTCATGGTGACCCTAAGAGGTAGGTGCTTTTATTATCCCCATTTTACAGATGAGGAAACTGAATTCCAGAAAAGCTGAGTAACCTGCCAAAGGCCCCAGAGCCAGCTCCTTCGGCTGTGGAAGTCAGGGCACACCTCCCTGAGGAGCTAGCACACCACTGGAGACTTGTTTGAGGAGAAAACAGGAGCTCTGGGAAGGCTGATGGGGTTGGGGGGATGGGGCAAGGACAACTGTTTCAGGCAGAGGGAGGAGCCAGTGCCAAGCCCTGAGACGGGCACAAGCTTAGCCTGTGCAAGGGGGGATAAGAAGGCTGCTGTGGCTGAAGATTAGTGCAAGGCAGGGAGGAGCCGGCTGAGGTGAGAGACAGGGCCCTCAGGAGCACAGGACCCTGGGCCCAATTTAGTCTTTAGTCTCTGTGGCTGTGAAACGAGAACAGTCAAGAGTGGAGCAGGCGGCAGTTGGGAGATGGGTTACGAAAGGATGGAGGTCTGGAGGAAAGGCCGGGTTTGGGGTGCTGCTGACAGCACTTGCTGATGGATGTGAAGAGGGAAGGGGAAAGAGAAGTCACCAGCTCGAAGCCTGAGACTGGGCCAATGAGGATGTCCTGAGAGAGACGGGCCAGACGGGGCACAGGAGCAGTGGTGGGAGGGAACGCCCCATTTACCTTGTCTGTTAGGGATCTGTTGGTCTTTGAAGCGAAGGGACTGAGTCTGAATGAGGCCCCCGGGGTTGAGAATCATGCTGGGGCCACTTCTCCATGGGGTCACAGGACTCTGGATCCCAAACCTGGTTGCCCAGCAGAAAACTCTGGAGGGCATGTTAGAAATACGGATTCCTGGGCCTTATCTCAGACCCACTGAGTCTTACCTTAAGAGGGTCCAGGAATCTCCCATTTCCTTAGGCCTAGTGCAGAGTTAGGAAGCAAGAGCTTACTTTTATTGAGCACGTCCTATGTGCCAACACTTACATTCCTTGTTTTTTTAATCTTGTAAGAATTCTATGAGCTATACACTTTCCCTTCTTCTGTAACAGATGAAGACAGGAAGGCTCAGAGCAGCTAAGTCATTTACCCAAAGTCTCCCAGCAAGTCCAGCCTAGCATCTGTGGGATGAGGAGCTAGGCCGCGGGATCTCGAAGCTAAAGTGATTTCACAAATCTCCTGAACCTTCAGGCCCCCTTTCCTTCCTTCAATCAGGGGATTACTTCTCTATTGCCTATGGCTTACTTCAGAAGAGCAGTCTTCAGTTTCTTGTCCTGAGTCTAGGTTAGAATATTTCAGCTGTCTGGCGATCTCCTCTTTAAGTAAATATTTAAATCGGGTTTAAATTTTTCCTCTTAAATCTTTCTAAATAAAAATAAATCTCACCCTCTGGACTGTGTCTGCCGCTTCCCGTTTATTTAAGAGCTCCGTTTATTGCACACAGGGTGAGTGCTAGCGAAGCGGAGCCCGGCCAGTAGCGGATGGCTGTGGCCGAGGGGGGAGAGGGGAGGAAGGAAGGTCCAGAGCTGGGCTGACCTCTTCTGCAGCTGCTGGGCCAAAGCCGGCCTTGGTAGCCAGAGCCCCTTCTAGTAAAACAAGGTTGCTTCCCAGCTCTTTCACAATGCTTTGATTTCGCTGAGGTCCACCAGCTCCCCCCAGGTGGAAGCCTTGGGAGGGAGTCACGTCCCAGACAGACCTCCAGATGCCAGGGTAAATGCCCACCATCCACTGTCGGAGATCACAAGTTGTAAACTTTTTAGTAACAGAAAAATGCCACCGCTTGCTTGGTTTGTGTTGCTTGTTTGTTTTTTTAGGAGTTGGATCGCTGGGCCCTCAGAGACAAGTTGCCTGAAAGAGAAATTGAGACTGCCCATTGAATTGCATTTGAATTCATTTGAATCCATTGAATTCCAGAAAATTCCATCTTTCCTATCTCCACTCCCCCCTTCCCTTTATTTATAATTTAGCTGCAGTTTACCAAGACAGGGGAGCGGCAAGGATTCTTGCTCAGAAGGCCCCGCAGAATCAAAAATGAAAAGAGAGATATTTCCCTCTCCTCCTTTCCCCAACTGTGCTCTCTCTCCCCTGTTCTGCCAGAAACCCCACCAGCTCGCCAAGAGCCACCCAGGAGCAGACTTCCTCTCTAATCTGTTGCATCTGTTCACCCACTCCTACTCCCTGCTAATCCCTCCAAAGGCACCGTTTGCCGCAAATGGGCTGGAGACAACTGGGAGCGAG